TCCCCTGCATCACATTTTATAAATAAAAATCCAACACCAAGAGTTAAATGGTGTCCTGTATTCCAATCAACTGACAGCTGTCACAGTGGAAGTGCCCACTGTTCAAAGTTCCAGCCCCAGCCTTCTGATTCCAACACCCGGTGTCTTTCTTGGAGAAGGCCTATTTAGAGAGGGGGTTGCCCAGCACAGTGGCTCATGCCTCTAACCCCAGCACTTTGAAAAGCTGAGGAGAAAGGATCACTTGAGCCCAGGAGTTTGAAACCTGCCTGAGCAACATGGTGAAACCTTCTCTCTACAAAAAAAAAAAAAATTAAAAAATTAAAAAATTAGCCAGGTGTGGTGGCACTTACCTGTAGTCCCAGTTACTCAGGAGACTGAGGTAGAATGATCACCTGAATCCAGGAGGTTGAGGTTGCGGTGAGCTTTGATAGTGCCACTGTACTCCAGCCTGGGTGACAGAGTGGGACCCTCCCCCAACTAAAAATAAAAAATAAAATAATGAGACTAATAATAGGAACCCAGTGATGGGGAGGAAAATGCATTTTCTCTAGATTTCAAGACTGTTTTACTGGGATCTCACATTCTGCTTTCTGCTGACACTAGCCTATCCTTACTTAAGCTGGGAAATGTTCAATCCTGTAGAAAACTTGAGGGAGTCATTGCATTCCCTGTACCTACACACCACAGACCATTGTAAGTGTCAGTACCTCAGAAAAGATGCAGGCAGACGTCTGGTTTAGGTCACATCCTCCCTGGGTTTTAGTAAAATGTTTCTGAGTTCTGGGCTCTGTGAGGCTCAGTTTTTAATGTCCTGCTCCAGTAAAACACATCTTCTTAGGTAAGTTAGAAATCTGCCATGGAGCCTGATTTATCTGGGCTGGCCATCTCCACTGACCAAATAAATGTCATCACTGTCAAATCTTGCCTTCTCTTTGTACTGAGGAGTGCAGAAAATCCAGCTCTCTGGGGAGTAATAACACAGGCCTGGTCTAAAAGTTCTTTTAACATGGAGAACATTAAGAGCAAAATGTTTTAAAGGCCAATGAGAAAGTTATAACATTTTTTACCAGACATCGGGAATGAGGAATTCCTGCTCTAAATTCAAGATCAACACTAACAAAAATGCTGGTAACACCCACCATAATAAATGACATTTATTCAGTGTTCTCCTAGAAAAATAAAGTGATATGGCAGGAAATCTGCTTCTTTTGACAAAGAGAAACAAGGAACTAAGGAAGGAAGGAAAGGAGGAGAGGAGGAGGGAAAGCAGGATGGGAGGGAATTCAACAATGCAATAGTCACCAAAGAAAGTCAAATAACAAAGACAGAAAAATAGTTTGTGAATTGTGTGGTGTCTTTTGGAGTGCATCTATCTGACTAATGGAGGAAGAGGTTGATGAGTATTCTGTGCCTGGCATTCAGCATTTAAAATATGAGGAAAGCATATATGATAATAGGTTCAATTCCACATTGCTAAGCATATTTCACCTATTTTAAAATATAATACTAAATGTTAAACTTATTCCATTAATTATGATCATATTTAAACCAGATCAAGTAGGAGGCAGGGTTCTCTAAATAAACGAAGTTTAATAATCTAAATACACCTGCCGTGGGCTTCTGCGTCCTCTGTCTCTCAACTATAAAAGAGACTCAAAGAAGCATCAGAACACTCTTTCTTTTCTGAAGCTTGTTGGTCATAATTCCTGGACCTTTTTCTTTCTTCCCCTTGATTTAATATATGCCAACATGTAATCTATGTTGGAAAAATGTTTGCCCCACTCCCATGTAAATTGTGTGTCAAGTATATTGTGTGTCCCTAACTACTCATGGACTCAAAGCTCTCTGAGGACAAGGATCCTGCCTTTCCTAATTTGAGATATGTCCACAATAATGGGCATTCACTGATTGTTAACTGGCTGCAGATGGAACAATGGAGTTTACTTCTTGACCTACTTTGTACTCCTGTTGCCAGTAAGCAAACCAAATCACAGAAAGAATTTTCAAGAGGAGAAAATCCACTGAAAACATAAATTTCCATTTGGAACAAAGGATTGGTTTGCTACATGCTCAGCCCTCTCTCAGGACCACTTGCATGGTTTCTTTCTGGAATAATTTGTGAACCTATCTCCCCTCTGCCCACTCAGCAATTTGAAAGTGGATGATATGAGTACTCATGTTTTATCACACAACGTTAGGTACAGTGCTTAGCACATAGTAGGAGCTCAGATATTGGTCAGCTCATTATTATTTTTAAACTCATGACAAGTTCAGGAGCAAAGTGAAGAATGAGGAAGAAAGTAGAAATTTGCTCCATCTTGAAAGTCTACTCTTGACAGCTCCCCCTAACACGCAGATTCTGCCTAAGCTCCATGAATATTTAAAGATAACAGACGTACAATATATTCAGGTATCAAGACTGAATTTATGCAACAGTCCTCTTTGTGTAAGTCTGTTGTTGTTGTTAATTAAATTGTTCCACTTTTTTCTTCTTTTGGTCCCAGACAATGGTTGCTTTTGTGAATCCTTCATGAACTAAGTAAATTAAATGTATCCATCATGTACTATCTCTTCTGAAAAGAAAGAGATGGTCTTTAGTGTGGCACAAGTATATTTAAGAGTCTAAGTATTTAAATGGAATAGTAGGACTAGGAAGAAACATTTTCACCCTAGGGAAAATGTTTTTTCCATGTTTCAACATCATGCAAATTTAAGACAGCTTACAGATTTTCTAACATATTGGAGATGCTCAACAAATGGATTGCTGACATTGTTATTAAAATTCTGCAAGTGATAATATGACATTTAAAATCTCCTGTACTTTTAAGTTTTGACCCTAGAATGCCTCTGTGCCTATGTAAACTTCAAGTCCAATGACTGGTAGGGCCATATCTGCCCTGGGAGACATTGCTAATTCTCATGCTCATTGTTTACTTGTATCCCACAGTCATTTTTTAAAAGCCAATTTAAAAAGTTTCCCCTTTTTCCAAATTTTAATTTATTCCAGAAATTTCTAAGTCAAGTCTACATTATTGTACATGTTCATTTAAAAAAACTAAATAAATATGTAGGATTTAATCCACATTATATTTTCAAGCAAGAGTTATCAATAAGCCGGAGAATATTTTCCAGGACAGAAGGGATTTGGGCTGAGACAGACACCAGTGTAACTAGGGACACTATTAAAGAATTGTTTAGAAAATGTTCTTAACATGACCTCTGGAGCTCAAGGAACTAGAACACAGACCATCACAAACTTTGTTTTTTATTACCCCTCCCCGCTCAATTTTAGGATTTTATTACTTTAAGACAATCACCAGCTTTACTTGGTGACCTCAGTCATGACTATAGTAGGCAATGTGTATAGATAGTCTAAATCTGTAGATGTTAGGGGAACACAAAGTAAATCTCTCTCAGTCTGTTTTATTCAGCAGTGGTTATTCAATCATTTTTTTCCTTTTCAAACTCACATAGCATTTGTTCATTTTTAACACATCAACCTGATGTTAAAAGAAGTATGCATATTTCTGAACTTTTATTATTACTATAAGTTTATTATTACTAATTATTCTTTTATTATTACTATAACTTTAAAGCCTTTTTTCTAATTATACTACTAATAAAAGATATAGTAATACTCTTTATCTAGAATGAGAATTCTGTCTCATTCTAGAGACAGAGTTGAGTTGAGACAGAGTTGAGTCTGTCTAGAGACAGAGAATGAGTTTCTCTGGAGTGAGAACTCCGCCTCATAAATATTTGTATTCACTGTGCCCTTTCCTACCTCCATCTCACCACAAAAAAATAAAAAATAAAAGACAATAGCCTGGAGGGTCACCCAATGCCAGGGCTCTAAGTCTCCGGACACGTTTTTGTAGCATAAATAGATCATGATGTCCAATGTATCAGCATGACCACATTCGCACACCCCAGCCTCACTTGTTTATTTTCATACTGATGTACATGACTTCAAGTTCCCTTTCTGATTCACTTGCAGGCTCTTTTTCCTCAAGGTATCCTCCTATCTCCCTTGGGGAGGGGGAAGGGAGATGTTCCTTGGTCCCGCGAAATGTTTGACTTGGGATCAAACACTCGCGTTCCTAAGCGCTGGGCGATGTGAAATACTCACGAGGAAGTCAGGCGCGAAGCCTTAGGGGTGTCTTATCTCCCTGCATTAACCCACCACTGGGAAGAGGGAACCAGGGGAGACTGACCCGGCACGTTGTCCCTGTACGCTTTGGCTCCGGCCACTTTGATCTCGCGCGTCTGCCTAATCAAGTTCATCTACCGCCGCGACTGCTCGGATGCAAAGAACAACATTAAATAGTTTGACTATCGGATAGTCATTTCCCTCTTCCCTCCACTCCTGATCCAATTTCCAAACGCCAGTCTCTCGCCTCCCTCTCTAAACTTCCCATCAAAAGAGAATTAGTTCTTCTTCCTTCTTACCCTCGTTTGATGTGCAAATTTCCTTCTCTTTGCCCATTTTTTTTTCCTCGCAGGGGCGGAGGGCGGGGGAGGGAGAGCAATTGAACGAAGTTAAGGACCTGACTCCAATCTGCAAACCGCGACTCGAAAGGGTTAATAGACAACCTGCAGACGCCACCTGGTCCTCTCGTGGAGAGAGCCACGGAATTACCGACCGGTTTGCATTTAATACTGAATATTATCTGCGTGCACGATACACCAATACACGAGGACGGTCGTAAGGAGAGAGGCGAAAAGTAGTTTTGCAGAGAGCATCACCGAAAAGTATGCCAGACCCGGACAACCCAACCCCTAAGGAAAGCAAGAGCTCCCCCAGTCTCCCGCGAGTATTCAAGTCTCGGGCTCCAATGCTCAGTGATAACCGGCCCCCTGACGGTGAGCTGGGCCAGCCAGCGGAGCGACCGCGTGAAGGAGGGGCGGGGTGCAGTGTCAATCC